AATAAACCTATGTTAAAAGTGTATGCTAAAAAATATCGTTCAACCGTTTGACCTTTCCTTACAGGTAGGGCACGTCATTTTGATGTCCAATAATATTATTTTAACATCATATGACGTTATTTTGACATAAATCGATAAAATAATATTAATATTTTAAAATAATATCATTTAATGCATTAATTAATAGCATTTGTTATTTGGGTTTAACAGGCTTCATAGATTGCATGAAGAAATCAATTGAGGAAAAATATCAGCCTTTGCAGCAACTAGTCGGTAAAAAACAACATATAGTGCAACATATATTTATATTTACTTAAAAAGCCTACATTCTAAATAGACAAATTGTATGTGTTTGTTTTCATAGTTTTGGGTGGTGTATATATAATGGAAAACGTATCAGCGTGCAAACATAAATTCGATAAAAATGTTTGGGAGCCATGGTACAAGCCGCAAAGATCTCACGACTATAAGTATTGTAAGATGAACAATACTGAAACAATAATAACTACATTTAGTAGCAGCTCAACAGAACGTCAATATTCACCAAGCTGTCCAGTAGTAAGATCATTGTTTAAGTTTTGATACATTTAAAATTGATACAGTTTCATACATGAGCTTTATATTTTCCAGAAATTTACTTGTCAATTCCTCCAATGTTTATCGCATCATAATAACATGGAATGCCAATTTTTAACGGGTGATGGAGAGAATATAAAATATTTAGGATATTTTTGTCCGGCGGAATATGTGCACTATTTTGATGGATGATTCGCTCAATAGCGTTAAATATTATAGATCGTAATGTATAATGTACCTACAAAAGTGATAATGTCAATGGATTGCACCAGATATAAGGAGAAAACACTACAAATAAAGATAAAATATACATATATACATATATACATGTATATATTGTATATATATTGTATATGTATATCTAAAATAAAAAATCCAAATAGAAAACAAATTTATGATAACTAAACAAAATAACAAATAAAATAAAATAATAAATAAGATAATGACTAAAATAACTATTAAAAATTAAAATGAAAAAAGGAACAAAATAAAATATAATTTTATTTTGTATACAAAAAAAAGAGATGAGCTCGTAGAATATACAAATATAATTTTAAATAGTGATGAATCTAATGATATTTATACCTTCTTCCACGTAATATATTTTATTATTTTCGGTAAGAATTATGTAATTATGTAAATGTTTGTTGCTTTATAAAATCACGATTACGACAGTGATTCAACGGCAATTCAAACATCTGCTTATAAAAGTCCAGCATATTGTTTTTGGAAATCTAAACGTAAAGATGTCCATCAAAATTTCGGTGCCAGCCTACTATCATGCCAGCACAATCTGTAGGTTGATGTGTCACCATCATCCTAACCGCAAATTTTGTCCCCTGATCTTGTGTGTAGCCCTTTTCTATAACGCGAAAATGGAGCTGGAAAGTGTAAGATCAGACTCTAATTGATATTTTTTATCAAATAATTCCTAAATAGACTTTTATAGCAAGTAAAATTACAGTTAGTAATTGTATATTATACTTTATTATTTATTATATTTAAATTGTAGATAATTATAATTCGTATATAATTGTGCATGTGTTATCAAAAAGGTCTCAGAAATTTTTTTCTATTATTATTTTCTATATTAATATATGTAGCATGTATAATGCGCTAACATACCGCATTCACTTTGTCGTATCCAATCCATTAAAATTCAGCTCGTATTATTATATGAGTGTTTTGGTAAAATTGTAAAGTATTACTTTGTTTTTTATTTATCAACCATAACAATATTAAGTCTGGTCAAAACTAAAAAAAAGGATTAAACATGAGCAAACATTAAATGTGAACAAAGCTCTAGATCACAAATGAAAAAATGGGAGATTGTATAATTCTTTCTGCCTATGAAATGTGTTTCATTGACTCATATCTTTGCCAAAGTTACAAGTTCATTAATTAGTGTTAAAATTAATAAAAGTCATGTATGAGTAATTGCCGACCTGCTCTCTAGCTCTCATCAAATTCTTCAAAACTTACAATTCATCGAAGTCTTCAAAACTTGAAAGCACCGTTTTGAACAACAACAATTGGTTGACAAGACAATCCGGGAATTTCTTGATACTTATATTGAAATATCTTATATTTTCTGAACTATTCGTGGCACTGTGAACAATGAAAAATTATATATGTGTGCGTGTGTGTCTATGATAAGAGTAAAAAACCCGAAAGATTTATATAATTCCAAATCTAATATTATACTTACTCATTTGGTTTCCAAACAATACAAAAGACAGAATCCAGATATATTACATCGCAGCGTATACCATGTCTTCTGGCCACGCTGTGATATATTATAGTTAAAATTAATTCTTGGCCATATTTATTTTTTAAGTTCTGTGCCAGAGATCGTGATGACTGGAATCTACGATTGTCACCTCGAGCCTCAATACCAAAACTACTCCGCTGTCCGCCACCTTGCTTGACTAAATCTTTGGAGGATTTTTCCATCGCTTTTGCCGCTTTGAGACTGTGCGAGATAGAAGTGGACGTGGGCGAGAGGAGCCCTGCGAGATCGCGTTTGTGCCGGACGTGCAAAGATACTCTCCGCGAGCGGCGGATGTATCCTGAATATCGCGAGCGATGGTAAACGGCGCGATTCCGCGAGCGACGGAATGAACGACGCGTTTTAACTGCGAGAGATTAATCGCGAGTGACGAGAATCTCTTTTGTTAGACTCGGAAACTTCGCGTTTCGTAAGCGAGAGTACGAATTGGAAAAGCGAGCGACTTTTCTTTAGCGATAGTTTAACGATATTTACACACTGTCTCGGATAAATCTCGATCGAGTGCGCCCGGCGGTTCCCCGAGAGAGCTTATATACAACCGTTGCTGCTTCTGGAATATTCGACGTGTTCGTCTCAAAAGATCGCGCCGGTTGTTGTTTGCGATGATTCGGAAAATTAGAACTTGTTATTCGCATTTGTTATTAATTTCGGCTCTCTCGGTTGACCGCTGCGTGGCCCGCTTTGAACGGTACGAACAATGCCACGGGCCTGGCGCGATTTGCTGAGCGCCGCTGTTTGCGCGTGATTTGATTCGCGGCGGGCCGTGCGCCGCGCGAGATGACCGCTAACGCGCCAATTTTCGAGCGCTCCCGTTGGAGACGCTCAATCTCAAACAGTCGCAGATAAAATCGACGGTAATAAATATAAAAATTATAAGAAATTAAAAAATTAAATGCAGAGATCTCACATCATTATATTTTTGCAGACTTGCGATATGTTTCACAATAGGATTTAATCCCGGAACAATAAACGATTTTCTTGTTTTGGACATATCATGGTGCAAGTCAGACAGAAACCTAC